TATATAAAGAGTTCCAAATCCTAAACTGCTCTCATATATGGTCTTGCTGGGAAAAATCATTGTTCTGAATATATTGATTCTTGTTGGGAAAAATCATTGTGCAGAATGGGCTGAATATCTTTTTGATGAAGTTCATTATGCTATAATGTTGAGTTTTAATATCATTGTCCTTTCATGTTTGTAGTGTTGAAGAATGACATCTTCAAGCACGGCAACAAGCAATGAAGAGTTAAGATATCGAAATATGCATTGCCCCATTTGAAGCAAAAGAGCGAATATCAAAGTTTCTGAATTTTAAAAAAATCCTGGAAAGTTATATTGCAAATGTTCAGACGATTTCAGTCACTTTTTTAAGTGGATGACTCCTATTATTCTCCCCTCTTTGAAAATTACAAATGAGAAGATAGATGTACGATGAATTGAAGAACTTTGTAATGTAGTTCAACGTGTTGAGGCTAAAGAAGGTTCAATGATCAAATATATTTGTAGTCACTTTAGTAGTAGTGATGCTTATATTTATGATTCTAGTGAAGTAGAGCTATAAGAGTAATAGTGTAGTGATGAAACTTGTATTGTAAATGAACTTGTGTATTTAATTTGAATGAAATTGTGGATTTTGTATATTGTTGTAACTTGGAAGATCATATTCATCAAAAAAGATCACATTCATTAAGAAGATCACATTCATTAAGAAGATCACATTCATTAAAAAGATCACATTCATTAAGAAGATCACATCCATTAAAAAAAGATCACATTCATTAAAAAAGAATCACATTCATTAAAAATACAACAAGCATCTTTACAAATGCTAGTAGTCTCATTAAAAATAAATAGTTTTCAACAAAATGAGAAAATGAGTAGTCTCCATTTGCATCATATAACTGCTAATCCTCCAAGCATCCTTACAAGTTGTATCCCCCATTCATGAAAAATGATTCAACATCATTTAAAGAATACACATGTGTTGAATCAGTCGGAGTACTCTACATTAATGAGAAGGGGTCAGACAAAGAAACTTGATAAATATGTGAAATAATAAAATTAACAATAAGGTAACATACCATAACACTTTATACACTATTTGAAGCTTGAGAAAACATCGAATGACCATATGCTGATGTACACAGGTGACTGAAACCTTGTACTTAAAATATAAAAATACTTACAATTATGTTTATAAAAATATGAGGGGAATAAAAATATGAAGTGAATTAAAAAAATTTACAATTATATTTATACGATACTGTAGACAAATGTGATGGTTGTGAAGCTCCTTTTTTTCTCTTTGTTGCTTTCTCATGCCAAGATTTTAGTCAACTCCAACCCTTGTAACCACTTTCTTTTCTTTTTAAACCTTTAACTTGGAGAAGGTTTGAGTCGACATTTTCTATTCCACTTAGATCAACATTTTCATGGATTGGGTCAACATTTTCATGGATTGAATCATTGCCACCATCACTAATTGGTGCATACATACTATCCATTTGTTTGAACAATTCCTCAACAACACGTGACACCAATTGATAGGCAAGTTGAAGACCAAAACATCATGCAGCTAGTTGTACCATTCTAGGAAAAAATTGTTTGTAATGTGACACCATCATTAACTTGGGATTCTCTTCATTTGACATTGAAATGGGGGTTGTCTTACAACTCTTTCTTGCATCTCGTCTCCATCTCTTACATATGTAATGCTCGGGAATTTGCTTCATTTTCATCATGTCCAAAACTTTAAATGCATGGTCACATAATATTCCTTTCATTTCAAACTTCTGACAACTACAATTGACTATCTCCTCATTAGCCTTAACCAAAACCAAATACTCTCTATCTTCATCATATAATCGAACCACAAATTGATGTCACTCATCTAACACATCACATGGTGTCGCAATAGCACAATGAAAGATATCATACTCCCCTTGGAACAACTGAAATATAGTAGGAGTGTACACTTGTTCTGCTTGCACTAACATTGAAGCTCTTTTTAACTTCAATTTAGGTAATTTTTGTCTAGCTTGGTATTCTGAGTCTAACTTCTTATACCATCTATTATTCACAACTCTTTCAAAATGTATAACGAACTGAACAATGTCATGGTCTGACTTTAAGTACTTCCGTAAGGCTACATTCAAGCTCTCACTCAATTAAGTGCTTCTCATTCCTGCAGTGAAAGTCCTCTTTATATACGCATGCCCCCATTTCTCTCGCAATGCCCAAGTGGATTTCATCCACATATTATCATGCAAATTATACTCCGCAAGCAACGATTCTCAAGCCTCAAATAATTCATGCTCTTCTTCATATCCATACACACACTCTTTAAATCGAGCAGAAAAATGTGAATCATCCTTATATATGTTTCTCAAATGTTTCAAAGCATTTTGGTAAATGTGCCAAGTACATAATCCATGGTATGTCTTTGGCATGACTATAGAAATAACCTTAGCCATCACTTGATCTTGGTCTGTGAAGATGGTAATATGATATTTCCTAGACATAGCTTGTAGGAATGTCTCAAACAACTACTAAAATAATGTTGTTGTTTCATCATACAATAATACAACTTCAAATAAGACTGTCTTCCTGAAATGATTGAAGCCAGTAAAACAAGCAAATTGTCGATACTCTTTGTTCGTTTTGAAAGTAGTGTCAAATGAGACAACATCTCTAAAGTTTCCATAGTCAATAATCATCACTGGGTCAGCCTAAAAATATTAGTAATTTGCTCCTCCGCATCTAATTGTACTCCATAATAGAATAATAGATTTTTCACTGCTTTCGTTTGAAAATACTTTAAAAAATTACCTATCTCACCATACCTCAAGTCTCGTTGCCTCATTTCATGGAGATAATTCTTTTGATCTTGACGAATAAAACCAAGACTCTCTTTTTCTCCTGACTGAGTACTTAAAAGTTCATAGGAAGCCTTAAGTGATATTTCACAATCTACTATCATATCAATATTAATGTCTTGTGTTCCAGTAACCTTCTTTTGGAATGACATCATATGCATACATTCAGTAAGGTGCAAAGGATGGTTGTGATTGTCGTCCCATTTCACCACAACAAATTTGTCAATTTCTCTATTAAGATATATGCACATATGAGCTTGACAGTTTATTCGAGTCTTTGCTCAAGGTTTCCTTATTTGCCACTCCCTTTTATCACGAGCCCTTTGACCTTGTTTACAACAAACATATTTTCGGTAAATGACGACGCCATCTTTCAAACTTTTATTATGAAAATCTTTTCTCACGCTAAATCCCACAGACTCTCCATAACTATTGTAAAACGCATAAGCATCTTCCTCCGCATCAAATTACATACTAATATGAGGTCTATCCTCAGTCGCATTAACTCTCAAATCATCTATCATAGTATCCTACAATACGAAATTTAATTGAAATGACATTATGTGGTGAATGAAACACATAATATAAGTATGACATTCAAAAAAAAAAAAATCAAACTAGAACAATATTGACCACAAAAATAGAAACAAGATAAAAAAATAATAGGTTAAATACATCTTTTATGGCTACTTACATTCATAAATGGAACTAGATGTTATGTACATAAGGTTACATAATTCTTAAAAAAATTAATCAAACTTGACATAAATTATATTATGAGATTTATATTTCAATTCAACAAGAGAATCACAATTTCCACTACCTATAATTGTATCAGAAGTAATCCAAACCTACAAGAAGTCCAAGACTAACTCCAACAAATTATTAAGTTTGAAAAGAAGCAAACCAAATATTCCTAAGTAACAACAATACCAAATAACCCAAAGCAAACTCTAGCGAACAGCCCCAGGAGAAGCCCAACAAACTGAGTCTCACTTTACATCTAATAGTAGTAAAGAGAGCTTGAAAACAAAAAGTGAAGCCCAACCACGCAAATTCCAAAAGAATTAAAGTCCAAGGTAAAACAAGTGCCAAAAACAAACACCCCAAAAGGCCGAACTAGCAAACTAATTAAAAAGCCTAAAGTAAGGAACCATTCAGATTAAGGATTTAACCAAAACAATTGCTAAATCATAGTGTAGCAGTCATACAGTGGGAATAGTAGCAACAAACCAAAATTTCAGCAACCTTACAGCTCCTAAGTCTCAACTCACTAAAGCGCAGAAGATCAAAGGCCTAATCAAAAGAACAATACAATTTATTTTTCACTACACTTAACGAGGAAGAAGAGGGAGACTGAGTTGTGAAGAAGGCGGTAGAAGAGACTCCAGTTTGATGAGGAAGAAGCGAGAGAAAAAAAGGAATGGGTCTAAAGTTAATTTCAAGGGCAAAAAACGATGTTATTATTAGTAAGAAAGATTAAAAAAAAAATTATAAAAAATACTTGAAACGCCGCCGTCCAATTTAATCGCATATCATGCGGTAAATTGATTACCACACAGGAGCCGCTCCCCACCCACATGTATCTCTGGTATCCTCTCTTTCCTCGGCGATTGTGCGCTCTCTCTCTCTCACTCTCTCTCGGGAGGCTTCACCTTGCCGTCGTTTATAAGTGGCAAACACAGACAGCCCCACCTTCGAACTCGCCTCATCCTCACCATTTTCACTCTTTCTAGATCAAAGGGCCAATCTTCAATCAGATTAAACCCTAAGCCTTGTTTGCTTACTCAGTTAATCTCAGCGAGTTTTGATTCTGGTTTACTGTTTTCCTCCCAATCACTGTGAAGCTGGGCTCAATTTTCAACCCTAGAAGTCACTGGTAAGCATTTAATTCTCTCTCTCTCTCTCTGTGTCAACATTTGTTTTAGTAGTTTCATTCAACTCGCGAGTCACGAGGTTCATACGCGAAATGCAACAGTCTAGGGTATTTTTGAATATTTCTATGCCTAAAAGCTATGGAAAATTTAACTCTGGAACAATGATTCTTCACTGAAGTATGCGATCTTTGTTCAATTTCCTGGAAATGAAATGGTGTTATCGGGAATTTTGATTCCAGTGAAGTGATATGAATCGTTGAAGAATATGAGCTATGGAGGTGGGGAGAATGGAAGAGACAGTGAACACCGCATCACCACCACAAGGAGGAAATCTGGAAAGGACGAATTTGCCCGGTCAATTGCAAGAATTGCGGTAGCACAAGTATGTGAGAGTGCTGGATTTCAGAGTTTTCAGCAATCAGCGTTCGATATTTTCTCTGACGTTGCTGTCAGATACATCCGCGAAATTGGAAAAACTGCGAATTATTGTGCCAATTTAGCTGGCAGGACTGAGTGTAATTTGTTCGATATAATTCAAGGGTTGGAAGATTTGGGATCAGTACAGGGTTTCTCTGGTGCTTCGGAGACTAATTGTTGTCTTAAACACTCAGGCATCCTTAAAGAGATTGCTCAGTTTGTTGGTAAAGCTGAGGAAATCCCATTTGCATATTCAATTCCCAGGTTCCCAGTTGCTAGAGAACAAAAATCAAACTCGGGTTTTGAGCAAGTTGGAGAAATGCCTCCAAGTGATGACATACCCGTATGGTTGCCGGCATTTCCTGATCCCGAGACCTACACAGACTTGCCTTCGAGAAATGAGAGAGAAGTGGAGACTCAGGCAGGTAAAGTTGAACAGGTTAGAGAGTTTATAAAGATGGAACGATCGTTACTGAATTTGCAGCAAAAGTCGGCTTATAATGGGTCTGAAGTACCATTAGAAGTTGACCAAGGGGATGCTGTGAAGGTGGGAAGAGCAGTAAATTCTAATCCATTTCTTGCAGCCCCTTTGCAGCATGGGGAGAAGGAAGTATCTTCGGTTGTTTTACCCGCTAGAATGTGGGATGAAGCTGTGATGCAAAATCATAATTTTGGAGTGGCTGAAAATTATGCTTCTGTGATGTTTGCCCCAGCTATTAAAGCAGTCAAGAGGGGGTTATGTGATTCAGAAGACAGTGAGGAGAAGGCTCTTGTGGATAGGAAACTCACTGTGCAATTTAAGTTCGGGACAGGAAAGAAGTCATCAAGTAGAGCAATGAGCCTTCATAATGAGGGTGTTGAGAAACATACTTCTTGGTTTGGGAATGATAAGGGGAAGGATGACAAGAAAAGAAGGACCGAGCAAATTCTGAATCCATCTATGGAAAACCCTCAGGAACTGGCACAGTTGTAAATTAGGCTTGTTTTGTTTGAGTTTGTATACTCGTTTGCGAAACTGACAGCAGATGCTGGTGGTACCAGGGTAGTCAAAGTTGCTGGCCATCGATTTGTATGTATATGGGCACTATGACTGCTAGATGGAATGTTTCCACTCTAGAAAACTTGCGAGGTATGTGATTGTATGTTGCCATAATGAATACTTGTNTTTGTATGTATATGGGCACTATGACTGCTAGATGGAATGTTTCCACTCTAGAAAACTTGCGAGGTATGTGATTGTATGTTGCCATAATGAATACTTGTCATTGATGATTCTTTGTATACGAAAAATTTATTATCCATTATAGATACAGTAGTATCTCCTGCTCTGGTGGTTATGGACCATTATTTTCTATGGACTGCATCCATGAGTAGTATTGCTGTTGCTATTGCATAAATATCTCATTATCCTTGAAGAAGAAACTATATTTTACCTTTCACATTATTCCCCATGTTTAAGCTAATAAAAAATGTACAATGAATAATAACTCTCTACATGTTAAGTGAGTATTGATATATACCTTATCAGAGAGAGTATGGTAGGTAACCTGTTAGGATAGCTCTGATGGGATCTTGAGGTCCCCAAATTGACTCTCATGTTGGTTTATCCGATGATTTGCTTAATTTTATCTTGGTTATTACCCTGCAATTGTTAAAGGTTTATAAGTAGTAATACCCTGCCATACAGTTCTTTTCTTTTGATGGTGCAGCATCCTGTGTCATATATAGGAGCTATATGTATATTTGGAGTGTACTTATCTTTTCCCAATGAAGGATGGTGATTGCTTAGCTAGATGAATAGTAACATGTCCAAACCATTCAACGGTTACAAATTTACAATATTATTTGAGTTGGTATCTTTAATAAAATGATGGGTTGCTGTAATGTCATTGTTAACTTTTTTTTCTTTTCTGTCAAAAGAATTGGTGTGTTTGCTTAGATTTTTTTCTGTGCCAGGGGCTGTCTTTTCTCCTTCTCTTAACTTACAATCACTCCGTGACTCTTGACTTTCAATTGAATCACAGCTTAATGCCATCTACTAAGTTTATTTTTAAGGCAAAGACAAAAATATATGACCAAGTGAGCCTAATACATTTTGAAAGAATCTTATAGGGATGCCTCTTATTCTGCTTCATCTTGTGTGTGAAATGCATGGCTGCCTCCCAACCCCAACATTAGGTGGTTGTCTCTGGTCATAAATTGTGGGTTTATAAATCTACCAGATTCATTTTATGTTGAATTTAGTTGCCATGGTTTCAAAGGAAAATCATTCATAATTGTCAGTTTCATATTTTCCTTGTTTTAGTGTTAGAAACATGAGCATACCAGCCTTGTATTCTCCCTCTTGCGTTGTATATCATTTCCCATGAGCCCAGGGGAAAAATGGAAAAAAAGAGGATGCTGGTCCCCTTGTTCAGTAGACCTGAGCCAGCATAAAAAATATTTGACCTTCAAATGGTCACTGCATTCTTTAACTGATATCCAATTGTTGTCTGTTTTCATTATTTTTCTCTCCCCAACTAACTTGATTTGTTTGTTGTAGCTTTTGCTTGATTCATCATTCGGCTGATTCAGTCCATGTTTTTCTCATTTGTTCCGGTTGAATTGGCATTAGAATCTTTGGAGATTGCTGGGTACTGTGCTTTGGATGAGATTTAAATCTTCACCAACTCAAGTTGGGTAGTAACAATGAAAAATGCCTTGGGTGACAGCCAAAATAATTACCGAATGACCTGTTGTATGTGTGTTTCACTCTGTGTTGTGCGTGTTGCACAAAGACACCTTTCTGGTGTGGAACTTTTGCAGTTCAATCAAAGTAAACAGTTACCCGTGTTCTTCCCTCCCTTATTTCCTGAGATACAATGTTAATTCTAATTCAGGAATTCATTAGTTTGAGATAAATGCAAGAATGAGAGTTAAGAAACATATTGCAGGGAATAATGTTGGAAAAAAAAAGTTATTGAAGGCAGGACAAGGTGTGCTTGTAATAAAAGAGCTTTCAAAAATAGTGTTGGGTTTTGCTCCTTTTTTTTTTTTTGCAGTTTACTTGTATAATTGAAACATCTTTGCATGATATGGGAATCATTGAATTGGGTTATCTGAAGTGGGGTGATTTCATGACAATTTGGGATTTATCGATGAATAGTTTTGACAACCATCGGCAAGTGCTAGTACATTAGTGCAATTTAGTAAATTTGTTTGGTGAACTCTAAACTTCTCCGGCGTGGTTTACAACCTAGAATTCTCCGTCCTCGTCATTTGAGAATTTGGTTGGGACTTAGGAAGGTAGTTCAATGGGTTCATCGGCTGGGAGATGTTGCTTGATGGGTGTACACACCAATAGATTTAACCATGTGTAGAATTATGTGCTCTTTCAATGCAATTTTTCATGTGTAGAAATATGAATTCTTAGTGCACGGGTCTTTAGATGCCAGCAGATATGTGGGATGAGCAAGGTTCCTCCAAATGCGACTCTTTCTACATCTATTTCATTTGGTTCTCTTTTACTTTTGCTCCTTTTTTTTCTTTAGTACCCCATGTGTTGAAAATGTAATGTGCTCACATGTTCATATCCATCNAATAAAAGAGCTTTCAAAAATAGTGTTGGGTTTTGCTCCTTTTTTTTTTTTTTGCAGTTTACTTGTATAATTGAAACATCTTTGCATGATATGGGAATCATTGAATTGGGTTATCTGAAGTGGGGTGATTTCATGACAATTTGGGATTTATCGATGAATAGTTTTGACAACCATCGGCAAGTGCTAGTACATTAGTGCAATTTAGTAAATTTGTTTGGTGAACTCTAAACTTCTCCGGCGTGGTTTACAACCTAGAATTCTCCGTCCTCGTCATTTGAGAATTTGGTTGGGACTTAGGAAGGTAGTTCAATGGGTTCATCGGCTGGGAGATGTTGCTTGATGGGTGTACATACCAATAGATTTAACCATGTGTAGAATTATGTGCTCTTTCAATGCAATTTTTCATGTGTAGAAATATGAATTCTTAGTGCACGGGTCTTTAGATGCCAGCAGATATGTGGGATGAGCAAGGTTCCTCCAAATGCGACTCTTTCTACATCTATTTCATTTGGTTCTCTTTTACTTTTGCTCCTTTTTTTTCTCTAGTACCCCATGTGTTGAAAATGTAATGTGCTCACATGTTCATATCCATCAGAAAAGAATGCTGTTTGTGGTTTCGGCCTACTGAAAAGTCTGGTATGGTTTAAGATTTACTACACATTAGTTGATTGGCAAGCATATGGCTGTAATTTGAAGTATGAAAAGAAGCAGAAGCGTTCTAAACATGCAGAGTGATTGTAATGAAGATTTATATTATTGACCCTAGAATCTCTTTACAAGCTAGTGAAGAGAAAATTGAAAAACTATTTGCTAAACAGTTGCCTGCAGTGCTTCCTTGATTGATATTGCAGATCAGCTGCCTCACCACTCACAATCTCACTAATCAAGTCTTTAAAGATCAAGCGCTCGATATCCAACACAAGCCCTGGAATCTCACCATGGTGGTCTGTCCAATCTTCTGACTGATGCTTCATATCCGCACTCAAGATGCTTGTCAATCCATCATCCTCCTCATCTAGGCCACAGTCTGGGTTAGCTTGGAGATGACAAATCTCAGAACACAATTCTTCCAGAAGCTTCTGTCCACTCAGGCTTTTCCCTCCTAGCTTGTAAGATCTTTCAAAAGCTAGTTTTCTGAATAGAATCTCATTGACAACGTCAAATATTTGTTTTCTTTTAGTTTTCTCTTTGGTTTTGGACTGAGCAATCTTTCCATTGTGGTTCTTGTTTCCAAGTTCAGTGCTTTGCCTGCTTTGTTCAATGACATGGAACAAGTTGGGGTTTAGCACATGGCCTGATGGCTGGAGCTGAATGGCTGTCAAGCAGGAGCCAAGATATTTGAGGAGACCTGATGCTAACAATATCTCAGTAATGTATCTATGATCTGGATTTTTGCTCTCAAGAGGAGAAGCAATATGATCTGCTGTGGCTTCATCAGAAGTGGAGTCCAGTTGTCTAAATTTATGAACCAAGTGCTTGATATTTTCAAATTTCTTGTTACTGAACTCGGAGATGAGATTGGGTGTTCTACTGTGACTTAGATCCTCTGGATGCCATTCTGCTTCGTCAGAATTTGAAGTTTCGTCATCTGTAGGATGAAAAAGGAAAGAGAAGAAGGTTATAAGTGAAGGTTTGCATCCTTTTGTTTAATCTAGGTTAAGTTTTGTACCCTGAAATACAGTTGACCATAAGGGAAAATCTCTCTAACGCCTCCCCCCCCCCCCCCCCCCCCC